TGCATTTCATATTTTTTTCACCTACCTATCATCCCTCACATGTTTACTGCATCCTACCTATTAAGCGATTACACTTACGTTAAAAGAGCCGGTGGGTGGTTATAATGCAATACCCTGCACGGTGAACAGCTTGCGAGTTTTGCAGCGGTGCGATTGCTGGGGCTTATCGCTGACTGAAAAGGGTAAATACAGTAAATACAGATGGCTGTGTTGGATCCCTTTGCTTTTGCCCAACATTCAGCGTTGGAATTGTGGCTTTACCGTCCCTCTTATTAAAGTTATCTAACTTTTTGTAGCTTCGTCAGGTTAGACACGACGCGCGCGGCGGTATCCATCTGGCGGCCGCTGGCGGAACTACCGCGCACGGCCCGCTTGCCGCACGGGCCTGGCGGCCGCCAGTGGAACTACTGCGCAGGTGGCAGCACCTGCCCGTGGAGAAGCGGCTGGCAATCGGCCGCCCCACTCCCCACCCCGCACCCACCCAGCTGGCCGCCAGACCGTGGGAACGACTCGGCTCAGCACTGCCGCACGCGCATTCAGCGGCGGGTTGTCGATTTTTCGAGTGTCGGCTGCCGATCTCCCGAGAGCCGGCCACCTGTCAGCCGCCGCTCGGCTCTGTGTTAAGCATATGGGGTATCTCACTTTTCCGAGATCTACGTCAAACTACGTATTTAAAACTACATATTCTACAGCCGAATCTTGAAACTGAGGGTACCTCACTCACAATCGCACGTGATTCAGCCGCATTCCTGTGTGGCGCGCAATGTTGAAGAGATATGTGTGTACGCAGCTATCTCGCAGGCCCTAAGAGAAAAAGCTCGCTGCAAAAACTGAGCGTTTCAAAAAACCCGAAATCCTACTCAAATGGATAATTAAACAAGATATCTTGGCTCGCTCCGCGTCGCTTTGGCAATCAAAGTATGAGGGAGAAAATTTGGGATCGATTGGTGTTCGTCCCGTGTTAATCGGACGTCTAGAAGCTTAGATATTCACGAAAAACTTGTTGAACTTGCAAAAGTACTTGGTACTTGCTTGGTACTTGCCAAAGTACTCGGTACTTGCCAAAGTACTTGGTACTTGCTTGGTATTTGCATAAGTACTCGGTATTTGCCAAAGTATTTGGTACTTGCTTGGTATTTGCATAAGTACTTGGTACTTGCTTGGTACTTGTAAAAGTACTTGGTACTTGCTTGGTACTTGCGAAAGTACTTGGTACTTGCACTCGCCCCCCCCCCGTTCCCCCGACTCTACTCCCACACCTACCCCCTCGGGATAATTCCGGGTTCGTCGGGTAGGAAAACTTGCCACTCTACCCCCTCCCCCCCCCACACACACACAGAGCCATTTGGTATCGATCGGTGTTTATCCCGTGTCAATCGGTCGTCAATAAGCCGAGATATGCACGGCGAATTATTTCAATCGGCGTCGATCAGAATCTTCAGAACGGAGGGACCCACACTCATTTCTGGCCGTATCTCACTTTTCCGAGATGTACGTCAAACTACGTATTTAAAACTACATATTCTAAGGCCGAATCTTCAAACTGGGGGTACCTCAGACCGTGGGAACGACTCGGCTCAGCACTGCCGCACGCGCATTCAGCGGCGGGTTGTCGATTTTTCGAGTGTCGGCTGCCGATCTCCCGAGAGCCGGCCACCTGTCAGCCGCCGCTCGGCTCTGTGTTAAGCATATGGGGACGGCGAATTTCTCCCGGAGGGAAGCACCTCGCTCACAAAAGCACGTGAATCAGCCGCATTCCTGTGTGGCGCGCAATGCTGAAGAGATATGTGTTTCCGCGGGTATCTCGCAGGCCCTAACAGGAAAAGCTCGCTGCAAAAACTGAGCGTTTCAAATAACGCCAAATCCTAGTCAAATGGATATTTAAACAAGATATCTTGGCTCGCTCCGCGTCGCTTTGGCCATAAAAAGATTCGGGAGAAAATTTGGGATCGAATGGTGTTTTCCCGGTGACGATCGGACGTCTAGAAGCTTCGATATTGGCGAAAAACTTGCTGAACTTGCAAAAGTACTTGGTACTTGCTTGGTACTTGCCAAAGTATCGGTACTTGCCAAAGTACTTGGTACTTGTTTGGTATTTTCATAAGCACTCGGTATTTGCCAAAGTACTTGGTACTTGCTTGGTATTTGCATAAGTACTTGGTACTTGATTGGTACTTGTAAAAGTACTTTGTACTTGCTTGGTACTTGCGAAAGTGCTTGGTACTCGCAAATGTACTTGGTACTGCACTTTTGTATGTTTCGACTACCTGGTCTGTTTTGTATGTTTTGAACGTTGTATGTTACGACTTCCATGTATGCTTTGATAAGTGTACGCTGCGGTCTTGTATGCGCTAGACTGCGGTTGTACCGCTAGGTGGCAGCAGCCACCGGTCCGGCCGCCCCAACTGCGGTCCAGGTGGCAGCAGCTGCCGGCAGACTCGGCAGTTTTTCCCGTCGTCGGGCGGTCGGCGGCGAATCTCCGCAACGGAGGGACCGCCACCGAGTTTGTCACGTGAATCAGCCGCATTCCTGTGAGGCGCGCAATGTTGAAGAGATATGTGTGCACGCAGCTATCTCGCAAGCCCTAAGAGAAAAAGCTCGCTGCAAAAACTCAGCGTTTCAAAAAACCCGAAATCCTACTCAAATGAATAACTAAACGAGGAGCAAGGGAGGCACTCGTAAAAAATGCCTAATTTCAAAATTAGCTAGTGAATTTTTTTTTTACAGTGTGGGATCAGTTCCAGCGAGTATAAAAAGTCAGTCGACTCATGACTCATGCACCAATTGCTGGTAAGTAGTATGTGTAACAGCGACGGATATAGCATATATGCATGCATGGTGTTCCGCCCACAGTACATCCGACTTCACCGCCTGCCAGGTCCGCCGGATAGCAGACTGACGTGTACGCGTCGGGCCCGTGTTTACGCGACGCTGGCCGACCGTGTGGTAGCGACTGGGGAGGTGTGGCCGGGGAGAGGGTCAGAGGGGAAGATTTACACGCTCGCTGCGCCGCGAGCTGGCCACTGTTTGGCCGCAGGCAGCTGTGCAGACGCAGCAGACGTGTCAGTGAGGGTCGGCAGCAGCTGTGCCGGATTTCACCTGTCGGCTGTCACAGGCCATCAAATCGGGTTTATGTATAGACGAGCGGGATATAGCCTTCGTGATTCATTGGCTGACCTGTGAGAAGGAGTGGTCGCAACTCGCAAACCAACATTCTCAGTTGATGCCCCTGCAATCAAATTCAAAGACCCTGCAAAGACCAAAGTGAGCCGGGGACCGGGGTGGCACCAATCTTAAACGTAATTTCGGAGTTCAGTGCTTTTCATGCGAAAGAAATGTTTAACTTGCTGTTTGATGCACTACTCTTTGATCCATAAGCAAGTACTGCCGTAGGTTTTATAACGTCTCCAAAAAATTTCAGCAAGACCGAGTTTGAAGACAGAGACTTAGATCTAAGTATAGCTAAGTCTATAGAGTATAGATCCATCTATCCTCATTTCATGGGTATACCCAAGGCTATAGAACTCCTTGTCATGAAAGTGGGTATACCCATGAGTCATGACGTTTACCTATAGGTAAACGTTTTAGAGAAGGCATTGGAAAGAGCCAATTCCATGCATAAACTCACAAGTTAGCTGTTAGTTCCGAAGAACCTGATCAGACTAGCGAGCGTTAAGCATAAGGAATTAGGATGCCGTCGTCTCCTGTGGTGACTGCGACTTGCGAGCCCAATACTAAGCCACATAAACCTATCTGATTCCAAACCGAATTCACTTATTTAAATCGTTTCCATGCCGCCTGCCGATGGTTCGATACATACCCGATGGACCCCGCTGATTGAGACGTGAGCTGTTTCTGGCGAGTTAAAATTCAGCAGATTGGTTTGTAATGCGCACAGTTTGGCGAAAGTTGCATTACCATGCTGTAGGTAGTGACCAGATGCATGCATGCATTGGGTGAAGTAATTATGGAACTCGATCTAAGCCACATCGTTACGATGCGCAAAAACTAGCATCGCCTTACGGTTGTACTAAGGACAAAGTCGCAAATCGCAATAGTCCAAAGCTTGATCCTCAATCGCTTACTTTCTCAGGGAATGTAGCGTCACGGTTCGGCATCTTGTGACGTCACCACTACACGCATGACGTCACGACTGCCCGCTGACGTCGAGCCTAACTCTGCGGGCGGCGCAGGGTCCCATCGGGCCCGTCAGCAGGCCTGTTCAAACAAAGGACCCGACCGACATCACTTCGCGACTGTTGCAGCCATTTGTCAGTCGCCGCTGGGTCAAATTGCCACCTTCGACCAAACCTTTCCAACATTCATGAAACTCAGAAGGATATGCAATTAGGGGAGATTGAGTGTAAAACGTGATATGGTGCCGTTCCATGGAGTATTACAAAATAAATTAGAAAGTGAGACGGTCGGTAGCGCGTTTCCCTTGCCGAATTATGTGCGGACTAGCGATATATACTTTAGACTCAAACTTAGCGAACTGGCTGAATTGTGGTAACGAAACGAAATGTTGTTTGCATACAATAAGTCTTCACTTGTCTTCTATCGCCGTAACCAAACGCAAATTCGTTGCTGGCGCACGCTGAAGCTCCGACAGAATGGAAAACGAACCGGGACCGGTCGCCCGTGAATATGTAAATGTGCTCAACCATGTCTACTTACCAAGGACGGTCACTGATGTATCTACCGATGCAGGATTATTGAGCTCTGCATGTTAGCAACGATGATGTTTTGGCTATATAGGTATACTTTGGGCACGCTTTGGGTATACCTACTTGCCTTATATTACACAATGTGATATTGAGGTAAAAATCGAAGATTAAATTCGAATGCCTTGAATATTGGTAAGCTCCTTAGTAAGCTTAGAACCAAACTTGCATTGACAGTTGACACACACCAACAATTTGATCATGGATGAAGAAGTTCGATCTTTTTCACTGTCGTCGCCAGGGATGCGTCCCTAATCCCCCCCCGTCCGTTTCCAGCCGAGTGCACGCGCCGACGACGGGCGGCAGCGGCACTCGCCGCTTCATCCGCTACTCGGTCTACAGCTGGCTGAGCCCCCTGGCACTGACGGCCGTCACCGTACTCATGCAGTACGCGCCCGAGCGTCTGGTGCCCACCGAGATCTACCTGCGGCCCGGCTTCGGCGAATACCGCTGCTGGTTCCCCGTGCCAGGTCAGTCATAGTGCATCTGTCTCAGCTCCATAAGTTATCCATAAAAACGTCTCTAAAAATAAACGTTATTAAGGATTGAATCCTGCAAAAATGTAACAGCATCCTTATATGAGAAAGAAAATATGAGAAAGTCTAAAGCTCTTTGTGTCTATAGCTCTATGGACTTTGCGATACTTCGAAGCTACCTCTGCTCTAATCATGATTGGACGTCATTCCATGCGTCTCAGTCGTGGATTCGTGGTAGATAGGTAATAGGTAGGTATGTAGCGCCATGAAGCCGACACAAGAACCTGGATTGATTATTGGCCAGATTGTAATGCATTGTGCAATCTGAATTCAATGTTGAATGTGGAAAACATTTTGAGCGTCGAACGTTTAAAATTGAACGGATTTTGGTAGTCAATGGAAGCACGTATGTAGCTATACCTAAGGGTATTCTAAAAATACATGTAACTGTTGGTGTTGGCTATTACTTCGGCCACTAAAAATACGTCCTTACTCAGTTGCCTAAATGCAATAAATCTCATAGCTTGAAGAAAGGGCACCGACAATGGTTGGTTGTACCATTGGCACATGATGTCATCACGTAGAGCTGTTTCGCGACGTTGGTGCCCGTTACCCATACGGTCTCGTTGAGGCGTCGTTTGTCTGTCCTTTGATAGTTGGCCTACCGACACAGCTGTTTGAGTTTTTAAACATCAATGCGCTTATTGAGAAAACAAACATCCGTAGGCTATTTTGGAGCTAAGGTCCGGCACTGACGCCGGGACTTTCTTAAAATGATCTCAAGCTGCTGTCAAAAATGGATTGAAACACTGAAACAGTGCCTATTCTGTTAAAAGGTTCTAGCGCGGGATTTTTATTTATTCGAAAATATTGCTTAACGTGCAAATCGGCACTGAAAACGATATGAAGGAAATGAACGCATTCGAAATAGCATAAATCATAACTAGCTACAAAATTGTCAACGATGTGCTTCAATAACAACATCCGATATTTGATAATGCGATAAAGGGCCCCAGTAAAGTATCCATTATGACATACTAGTGAAGTTAGCCGTAATAGTTGCAATAATGTGCAAAATAAGGGTGGAAGATTGCTCTTACCTATCGAACTTTTTATGACGGGAAACGACTCAAGTAGTTTATTTGATTAATTGCACCGTTCTTTGCATTTTCTGTCAACTTCATTTCCCAAGATACCGATTTGACTGTAGGCATGTTAAATATGTTTAAAAGCTTGATTTGTTTTACATGACAACTATTAAGAATAAGTGTAAGTATGACCGACACTAACCATGGGCACGTTAGCAAGCTGACAAATTGACAAATTTGAAATGCCTTCAGAGAGTAGCCCTCAGCGAACTTTGAAATGGCCCCTGGTGCAGCTACTGTTGCCCTCCGGCCAATGTCATCCCGACGGCCTCAGTAAAACAAATACCGCACGCTCGGGGCAAAGGCTGTCATAGTCGGTCATGTGATGAACACTGCTCCTCATAGGATGATGTTGAGTTGATAATGCTGGATATCAAATGGCGAAGGAACGCACGGCCATTGTGAGGGCATCACGCTTGCCCTGTGCGTTCCTGCATCGCTCCCCGGCTGGTGTTTGGGACAGCTCACAGCGGGGTGTAAACAAATAGTCTGTCCGGCGCCTCCCAGCTACGCCAGAACGTGAAGGTTACGTACCACTTTTGTATCGTTTGTCGAAAAGGAAACTGTTGGAGTGGAGTTATCTAACCTTAAGCAGCTGAGATCATTAGGAACCTAATTTGATGAGTTAATCGACGAATTAGTCGACCAATAGACGTCGTCGGAGAAGGCTAAGAACATAAGAGATGTTCGTGAATCGTTATCCTGGCCGTCAGAAATACCCAACTTGGTTCTGAGAGGTCAGATGATATTTTGTCTGATCTGCACAAACCAAACTGACGGCTGGTGCCCGATGCACTCGGCGATGTTTTGATGAAGACCCAGCGGGACGAAGAGTAACCGTATCGGCCGGGACTTCGGGTACAACATAGCCCCGAGAGACTGGTCAAGGGCTCAATCTCTCCCCTTCACCGCCACCGTTTCCAAAGAAGAACCTCAGCTCTATCTGTCGGCCTGACTCTCCTAGACGTCCCTCATGTCAGCCCGAGTGTGGTACGTGTCAGTGCGCTCCGCCCATGGCGCCGCTCCAGCTCGCTCGTCAGCCGCGGCAGGCGCGCGGCACGACGCTCTGTTGGCTTTGCTCGCCTCAACGGCGGGCCGCCACGGCCATTGGAAACGTAACCCGTCAGCGTCAACAGACTGCCCTGGCGCCGGAACATTCCTTGAACCTGCACTTCTTCAGAGTGGAGGCTGAGAGGACGGCTTCTGAACGATACTCCGATCTGTGTGTCTAGTGTCATCTCAAATCTATAAAATATATTTCACATGTTCGACTTCCCCATGTACGCATGCCGCCAACCGTCAGGGCTGAAAAGGTGGTGTGGATGATTGTTCCGTAAGACCATTCCGTAAGATGCTTGTTCTATAATGTTCGGGGATGCTCGTATTTGATTGTCCACACTCACAGAGCCTGGTCAAATCGCGTTCGCAGGTCGCCGGGTATGATAAATCGAGTGTGGCCTGTCCGCCACGATTGGATGCTGCGCGTTAATAACGACCGACTGATCGGACGTTGGGAGAGTTGATGATGTTGATGATGTCAATGATGTTGGAGTTGATGAGTGCGCGCCAGAGATGCTTAGTTTGTTGAAACGTGCAGTACTTAGCGTCATGCGAAATGCGAATATTCGTGCTGACGATAATGGGGCGCCGTGTCTTTCTCTGGTCGTCACTTGACCTCTGCAGATGTCATACCTACTGATTGCTGAGTCGCTGACCTTAGTGTTGACATCTGACCTCTGACAGAATTGTTGACCTCTGAGCGTGCTATGGTCATTTTTAAGCGCGCCGCGTACCTAGTGTTGATCTATGAGTGTGTCTTGCTGACCCTTAGCCCAGTTGAAGGTTGAGCCCGTTGACCTCTGGCTGTGCGGTGTTGACCTCTTGTGTGTTGTTGATCTGTGACCTCTGACGATGCCGTGCGCCACTCTGCAGGTCGCTGGGAGCTGTTGGCCTACCTGCACGGCCCTCTGCTCGTGCTCATGACCGCCAACCTGGCCCTCTTCCTGATGACCGCTCGCTGCCTGCTCAAGTCCGAGCACGACACGCAGCTGGTGCGAAAAAAGAAAACCGCCGTCGAAAGGTCAGTAGAACGTTCATGTCCACTGAATTATGATAAGGCGACACTTCTTTGAATAAGCGTGTTCATTTATGTTTTTCATCGGTTTGCAGACCTGTATGTTTGGTTATACATACCTGTATGTTTGGTACATACATCTCAGCTTGCGGTGGGTCACTTTCTTTTTATGAACCGTAACCACGAGACCGGTTAGGCTGCGCCATTGGCTTAGAAGTGAAATGTTTATAAATGCGAGCCGTCTGTGGGTGATTGAAACCATTGAAGCCTGGCAGGTCTTCCATCTCTGGGAACGTGGATTCACAGTTCACACGTGAATACCACTAAACATGCGTTTTCCAGCCTTCAGACTTTCCGTTAACGTCGGCTCCTTTTGTCCCGCAATATAAACAGCGGAAACTGGAAGTCCCCTCTTTGGAACAGGCCAGGGGCGTCACGTGACAGGGCCATGTGACCTTCTCTAAAGTGGCTGAACTTCTCGAGCATACTGGGAGTCTGTATTGGAGCACAGTACCCGCGACTGATGTGATCTTTTCGTTAAAAAAATATATGAGGTACGGCCCTGTTTCTCGAACGGGCCCTCCATCCCCGTCTGGGGCTCGTAGCCTGTGGGATATCTTGAACGGCTCAGCTCTTCGCTGAGTCCCTCTTTACCCGGTAGAGACCTGTGACAAAATACCCTTGTGGTTGACGTGGGGAATATTCAGACAAAGCCTGTGGTCGGCGACTGGATTATTATATTATCCCGTTTCGACAAATCGGACAGATGAACGTCATATTCCTGGAATATCCGTGATATTAAAAATTCCAAACGAACCCTTTATCCGCGGGAACATGTCCACTGACGATCTGCGCTGGATCTCTAAGACTCAATGGCGTCATAGGAGGGACTTAGTGACGTCATAACGGCGATTTATGACGTCAGATGGTTCATAGCAGGGTGCTGCGTCTGAGAGCCAGACCACTGCTGTATATGTAACCCGGAGAACACTGGTCCTGACACTTCACAGGTCCTTATTTTGGGGCAGACGTAAACGCTGCGCCGCGCTGTTTGCTGCTTTGCTGGGCTAAAACCGCATGGAATCATCAGGCGTTAGCTAATTGCGATGACCACTGTTTGTTTTTGTCCGAGTGTTTGATAAACTGAAATGACTGGACAAGCGACAGGCGCCTCATCCCTTGATTCCTATCGAAGTGTTGAGCCAGATTCCAGACTGAGCTGAACGTTTACAGCGTTTGAGCTGAGCGTTTGTACCCATCTGATCAACGGAACAGACAAATATTCAGGGATTGCTTTTTACGCCAGTTTTGATAAAATATCTCCGGACAGTTACGTATAACCTGCATGAACCTGCATTATGTATAATCTGTATTCGTTTGTTGACACGCTGGTTGACGACTTGTATTGTGTCTTCGCAGGCTGAAGATCTACGTCAATCTGTTCATCGTGATGGGCATAACCTGGGTGGCCGAGGCTCTGTCTGTGAATGTGGGCAGCGAGGTACTCTGGTAAGTCGTGACGTTCGTTACCGGCCATTTTTCCGCGCGCATGTGAGTTGTGACCTCTTTTGTTAGACGGGAGAGCTCAAGCTGAAGGCAAACTGCAGAGGCGGCGGAAGGTATTTTGGGATGGGGGGGCACACCTGATCCTTCCCGGAACCTAGGGTACCCCCAAATCTAGTTTTCTCACCGGTTTTAGGCCACTTATTTTTCACCCCTTGGCCTTTACAACGAAAAATCGAAACGAAAACATTTGCAAAAAGTGAGATATCCCGTCTCATCTGAGTCAAGGAACTACCTTTTTGGTAACTTGGAATAAACGTTTAAAGCTTTCACACATGAGCTGTCAAATCAGGTATAGAGGGGGATTTTTTTACTTAAATAGGTATTGTCTTCCATTCAGCTTTTCTTTGAGGCCCACGGCCGCTAATATAGGGAGGACAAGCTGCCCCGACGGTTCCTGGCCCTATGAAACTTTGTGGGGGCAGCGCCTGCGCCCCCCACGGCCCCAGAGTTGTGGGGGCAGGCTACCCCCATGCTGCCCCCCGGCTCACGAGTCTATGCCGGCTGGCGTCTGGCAGAGTCGCGGGGAAAGGCCTGTGGCACGCTCAGACGCGCTTCTGTGACGTCCGCATGCCGGGCCACTCGCGTTCCGTCCTACTCTTCCGGTTACCGGTAGCTCGTAGATAGCTGCTTGATTTCTGAGCATTATGTGTGGAGGGCGTTTGGTGGAAATGTATGATATTTAGAGAATGAATATGTGCTTACATGTTGTCACAGTCTTCTGCGTTAGAACGCTCCATAATGAAGGTTGTTTCTGGTTAACATTTCGAAAAGGTAATAAATCTATGAAATTATGTTGGTAGATTTCCGATTTCGATTCCTCCGGTTGGAGGGTCTCAAATACCTACATTACGAGCCCTCCCCCCGCCGAAAAGTTGGAGGGGCTCAGCCCCCGCTAGCCCCTCCAGCCGGTTCCCGGGAACCGCCCCTCTGGTTCCCGCGCCACTGCGGCAAGTCCAGTTCAAATACGTGTAGCACGCTGTGGCTGTCACCGTGACTGTTGTTCGCGTTGAACAACTTGCTTCCTTTAAACCAATGACGTCATTAAAGTTAGCCAATTATTGGCTATTGCAAACCTTTTTGGTTGGTAACACTCGCACTGCAAAATGCTAGCCAATGTGATCAAAATATGTACGACGACATTGACAACAATATCAATCCATTCCAAATTACTCGCTCTATTAACTTAAAAAGGTACTCAGCCAAACTGGCATATGTTCATGACGTAGTATGGAAGTATTGTGGTACTTCGTCGATAACAATTTGGGGGGGCAAAAAGATATGTTTGCACCCCCACCCTGGAAGATGGGGGGGCGCCGTGCCCCCGCTGCCCCCCCGCTTCCGCCGCCACTGAGGCAAAGTGAAGTGGAGCGTGCTCACGAGGACGAAACAGACGGTTCATCCCACTCACTGTCTTCAACTGGCTGCGACTGCACTGGTCTAGAAACATTTGTTCAATTTTTCTCTGTGCTAATAATCAGTACATAGTGGAATTTCGCATGCACGCATTGATGAGCTTCATTCCACTAAACATCACGATGTCGACTGCCAAGTGTCCGACCAAGGCTGTAGTAGTGCTAGCCTGATGGACACCCGACAGGTGCGAAATCCTCCGACCTGTCTGGACTGAAATAACCGACACAAGTTCAGCACGCAGTTTGTGAATTTACAGGTCAATAAATTTGCAGAGCAGACTTTACGATTTGTTTCCACAACACAAACTGCGTATTGCTGGTTTTACTAGACTGAGACGTTTTAGCGATAAACCCATCGGTGCCACACACATGTATACTGTATAGTATATGGCAGTAGCCTTCGTCAATGGGAACTGGGACTTGGAGGGCTATATAGGGGAGAGTGGGGCAATGGCGGACGGTGGGTAATGCCGGCCACTCATCTCTAGTGAGTACTTTGTCCATCACTAATCAGCTGATGTTGTTTACATTTCAGTTGAGCGCCATTCTAGCACGTGGTGCAAGTTTGTCACGGTAGCTCCATTATTTTCATTTTTATAGCGTTAAATGTGTTTTTCGTATCTGATTTTTAATTTTTGTTGCATCTATTTGCTGACTGTGAAATGTGTTAACGCATTTTCGGAAGTGCTGCTTTGCAATGACCTTCAATTAAGTCTTTCTTAGGCGACTGCTGGATGTGAGGCGTTTGCGGCGCAATGCCTTTGACTGCTGCCTGCTTTCTTAAAATAAAGCTGACCTCGGGGTAATACCGGACACGTGTCCGGAATGACTCCAAGCGGTTTTGTTTGCGACTTCTGTCGTTAAAGCTCAACTTTTCGGGTTGCTGTGTTTACGGCTGTGTTAGTTTGCTTGCTGTGTTTACGGTTGTGTTAGTTTGCTGTTCTGTTGGCGCCGCGCTGTTGTGTTGCAGCGAGTGCAGCGTTGTGTTGCAGTGCAGTGTACTGTTAACTGCTGAATACAGTTGTCGTTTCTTAATTCTCACTTAAATTTCCATCGAAAGAATGGTTTAAGGATGAATACTAGTGACGATATTTCGACTTTTGTGCTATTGCACTTTGTGGCCGGCATTACCCCTCGCTTTTTTGCACCTCCATTTTTCACCACATTTTCGCGTAGGCTCTGAATCTGTCATCAGTGATCTGAGATACTAAAACTAGGTGCTATCTGAAAGCCTATTCCTTTGGCTACAACCACAGTCAAAATCACCATAAAATATCTTCAAATAGCTAAGCTATTGAGCAAAATGCTTATGGTGTCGCCATTGCCCCACTCTCCCCTACCTACAGCAGCGTAAGCGAAAACAAACCAAATGGCCCGCCCGTTTACGTGTTAACTGCATTTCATGCTTCTAAAACCCGGTCCCATTGCGTGTGGAGTGGACGGCAGTGCAGTTAGCAGCGGTGGTCATTATTTGCGCGCATCGCCTGTCACGGCACGAGGCCTTTGTTTGCGCTAGTCCGTCTACCCCATGTGACTACCGAAGCGTTATCCGTCTCTGTTGACGAAAATAATGTCTGATGAATTGATAAATCAGCTATAAAACAATTGTAGCCTGATGAAGCTTAGAAAGACCGTATTAAAGCAACCGCCGTAGCGCCGTTGATGCACTTGCCACCTAATAATCAACTATGGATCTGTTTTGACGAAATGGAATCAAAATGTGACCAAATGTGTGTTGGTTAAACAGTTAATGACACCGTAGCTCGCGCTCTTCTTTTCAGTCACGCTTGCGTATATTCCGAGCGAAACACAACCATTTAAAAATAAGCAAACTCAGAAATTAACCCGCACATGCCATAACCTAAACTCGAGATTTGGCTATCCTAGAGCGCACACGAGGGGTAGCATTCCCTGCGCCGTTCCACTCCTAATTCTGGTGAAACCGTTTAAAAAGCTCGTCCGTCGTTACTTTCCTAATGTGGGGCGAGGCGAGAGCTAAGTTTAAAAGATGTTTATTTGTTTCCTAAATGACAACAAGCCCAAAGCTAACTGCACTCGTTGAAATTCATTTTTAGACGATATCACACAGGCAAGACGAGAATAAGTACGCGCTTGACTCACGGCGTTTGACTCACGACGTTTGACTCAGTGACGACAAGATTGATTCAGAGGACGACCCGGAACAATAATATTTACCTACCTCCTCACAATAGGGCGCGTTCGGTGGAAGATACCAGCCATGGGGTCTTGGTAGATGTCATGCTGGAGATGCAAACAGTACCAGGGAAAACTCGGAAGTTGATACTATCTCTAACGAGAAACGGATAAATGAGCATTCAAGCGGTCCTCAATCGACAAATTACTCATTTCTGGTGAATTAAGGAGCTACCGTCACCTTCTCCAAGTGTTTCGAGCGCAGGACCGTCTGTCCGGCCAGTATGCATGACTCCAGTGTACTCATCTGACAGATATGCACGTTCGTGTGCGGCAGGTACGTCTCGGACGCCGTCAACTGTCTGCAGGGCGTCATCATCTTCCTGTTGTTCACCATGCGGGAGCGGTCGCGTCGGATCATCCTGCGCCACCTGGATAGTTGGGGCGTCTGCCGCTGGTGTCGCGGCTGTCGCTCCCCGACCTCCGACGGTAGAGCGGGCCCGCTGCTCTCCTCCTCTAATAAGACGCGCACGACCTCTGTGCCGACCGGTACCTCTGGCCGCGCCAGCCACCTGCAGGAGCTGGAGCCGGTGATGGCTGCAGCCGCCGGCGCGGCCGCTGCTGGGGACGCTAACACGCCGGCTGACTGAGCTGCACGGCTACTTCTCACCTGGAGCTCACTCTGAACTCACCATGAACTCTGAGCTCTCTTTGAGCTCTCGGACTCGCTCTGAACTCACTCTGAGCTCTCTCTGAGCTGCTGAGCTCCCTGAGCTAACTCTACCCTCAAGACTCTGCCATCTCCGACTGCTGTGTTCATACGTCTGCTGAACTATTTCACCGTACAGTGGGATCATCTCTCGTCTGTCGTCTTTTCTTTTCTGAATATGGACTCTTGGGCTATATCTTGTACAGTGAGCTGGGCATCCCTGCTGTTGCTTTTGTTAATACCTTCCTACTGGAAACGGAAATCGCCTCTGTCATTTTTTTTTTTTTTGCACTGAGTATCTCTGTGGTGAATGTCTGAATCTCGCACTTCTTAGCATTGTGATCCGCAGTGGCCGTGGAGTCACTTTCTCCTCCGCTTCGATGGTGTCTGGTAATTGTCTCATCTTGCCATATGTGCTTTTAAGCCCGTAGTTTTGTGTGTACTAATCGGTCCTGTTAGAGAAAAGGCATGCGGGATCTAATTGCCCATGCGTCTAGTAGTAGATTTGTACAGTTTTAGTGTTGTTGTTGTTAACTATAGTTAGAAGGTTGCCGTCACCTAGCTCTCAGAGGAGACCTGGCGCTCTAACGGGATGTAGATGAGCAACTGAAAGACCAGTCATTGACAGCATGTGTAATTGGATGGCGACCAATGAGACCAATTAGAGTCGATCCATCGACACATAGCCAGTAACCACTGATGACGTGCAATGTGCATGTGTTCGAAAACCAGAGGCCAGTTTTACTAACAGAAAAATAGCCGCCTGCCGGAATTTTTTGCCTCAAGAGCGCTTAACATACGAAGCGTAAACGGTAAAGCCCTATCCGTATACGTGCCCATCGCGGGGCTTTAGGCTTTAGGCTTTAGTGTGTGGGCTTGAGGCAAAAAAAAAAAAAACCGGCAGGCGGCTATTTTTCTGTTGGTAAAACTGGCCTCTGGTTTAGCCTTTGCCTCGGATGGCTATAAATGTCCGCTTAGCTCGCGATTTTCATGTGTAGAAGTACGTGCAGCACTTGACAATTAACGTGATTCAGAGAGCTTGTGACTAAATGTGCATCAGTTACTAAATGTTGTAGAGAAGTCGACAGCTAAAACACTTGCCGTGTGCAGCCCTGTTGATCAGTACATATGTAGATCGCAGTTCAGCTTTGAACCGTGTTCCGTTTCGTGTTGCGCAATCGCTCCGTGTCGCTCCCCGTCCATCGGTGTCGCCCGCTTCCGAAACCGGACATTTAACACGAGCTTCCTTCGGCGTGACGCCCACTGACCCTGCGTTTCAGTACCATCATACTTACGGAGCACCCTGCAGAGCTGACCCAGTGGAACGGACCAGGGTGAAGAAGTGAGCCTTCAGTCGACTGATAGCGCTTTGACGGAGCCTACGGCACACTGGACCTGCTGTTAAGGCCTGATGGTCAAGGCCTGTTGTTGGAGGTCTGTTGGTCAAAATCTGATGGTCGATGGATGTTAGTCGAGGCCCGCTGGTCTAGGCTCGTTGGTCAGGGCCTGATGGTGAAAACCTGATAGTCAAGCCCTATTGGTCAATGGCTATTGGTCGAGGCCTGATGGCTCGGCGGCTTGGACTAGGAGTGCCGCTGCTGTTGCGGTCAGGGAATCTCCGCGATGTGAATTGTAAACGCGCACTTGCCACTTGCGAGAGATATTAGGATGTGCTGTGATGTGAATGGGTAGCAATTTAGAGATAGATGGGCCGGGACCGACTCTGCGTTGAAATGATTGTCATTAGTTGACCTAAGCTCGTGTTCGCGGTAAGATGCGGCGATTCGCCAACTAGCGGGTCAAGTAGGAACGTTTGTGGATGTGGGGAAGTAACTAGGAGAGGAGACGATGCATGAATATGCTTGGGATTTCGGGCATCATCGATGATTGGAGTCGCTTTTGTCTCAGATGATGTCTGGTTTATGGTTGGCTGTGTCGAAGGGCGAGCATATGTTTTCATTGCATTTTCATCCCATGTCAAGAGGAAGAAATATTAATTTCATTGTGTTTTGATTAGGCTTTGAGGATGATCTATTGATGTGTTCAGCGCATGCAATATGATTATGTATCGAGATTCGTGCTCACTGCAATGCGATATAAATACATGCAAGAAGGGTATAGATAACATTCGTTTGACTTGGACTCTCGACTACAATGCAAATATTTGTGATTTGTTTGCTTGTTGTCGTTTTTTTTTTTTTTGCTTGGAAGAAAGCTCTTTCGGCCTGAAAAGGCCACATCAGAGCAATGGGATTATAGGACAGGGTGTAGTAGACACTGGACACAGCGCGGACCACCGAAGATGGTGCACCGCAGTGGCAAAGACCCGTACCGGCCCGGTAGGACGGAAGTGACACGCTGGTCCTAAGGACAACCAGAACAGATGAACATGCCCACAGAGTTGGTGGCGCAGATCAGCCCTAGATAAGATCCGATAAGATCCAATGACTAATGAGCCCCGCGAGGGGATGGGCGATCCGGGCAGCCGGACCGGACCGATCGATCAATACGGCATTCCGTAGTATCTGGACGACTAAATCCCTCGATACCCCCATCGATCCAATACCGAGCATCAATGAGCACCACCGACGGAAGGGGGGGGGGGGGCGACTGGACCCCCGGTCACCCTTCTCGCACCCTTGGCTGACCTTGCCGCCTGGGGAGGCGCCCCTGCCCCTGCCGGCTGGTTGCCGTCCGGCCGACCGCCAGGGGGCGCGCCAGCTTGAGGGGCGGAGCGAGGCGTGCCGGCAGCTGCGTCGGCACCCCACACTCGACGTCTCTGGTCGGTGAGAGCCGGGACTTACTGCGGTAGGAGGGTGATACAGCTGAGACAGCCAGTCGATACCTCACAGACGCGGTAAGTGGACGGAGACGGGGCGGGGCTCGTCATGGCAGATCGTCGATATTATGCAGATGAGATCAGATTTATGTCGCGAACGGTACCGTAGTGAAAACGTCTCCGATATTTAAGGCCGGGGAAATATAAATAGTTTTCGAGGCAGAGATCGTCTAAATTGCATAAATAGCATTTGGGGCAAAGTAACGGGTGTTCAAGCTGGCTGCTGGCTAACATCGGTACCTTCAACTTAGGAGTCTGTACCTGCATGTTATGACTCCTGGCGGTCGGGTGGGTGTGACCTCGCGTCCCGTGCTGACCTTTGGACTACCGCGGTATCTAGGCCGTGATATTCCTGTTTGCCGAACGTTCAGTGTTTGGGAGGGAGGGTCGAGCTATGTCATAGAATAACAACTGAGCAGCGTTAGCAACAGTGGATATAGTTGGCTCCCGACAGGAATTCGACACGAGATAAGACATGCGGCTTACGTTATTTTACTGAAGAAATGTTGAGTCATGATCGAATAACTACAAAGTCACGTGAACGCACCTATTATTGAGCAGTATCAAACGTAAGGTGAATGTTCGTAAGGTGCTGCTCATTACCTATTTTATCTAGTCTTGACTTTTGACTGTCGTTAGCCTACATTGAGCCTACATTGCATAGCAGGACTTGTACTTACACATACAGAATGTATGCATTGATGCAAGCCCGATACCGTCACCCTCGTCTAACCACTGACCTGCACCGGGTATTTCCCTCAGAGGATGTCTGGCGCGGGCGAGGAGAAGGGCAAGCTGTGGGGCGGCCGCTTCACCGGAGCCGTTGACCCCGACATGGAGAAATTCAACGCCTCCATCGGCTACGACAGGCGCATGTACAAGCAGGACATTCAGGTGAGTGAAGTGACGGTCTCCCGGTGTGGTGGCTCCCCAGCTACCGCTGCGTGGCTCCTTTGCTCCCGGTGTGGTGGCTCCCCAGCTCCCGGGGTGGTGACTCGCCAGCTCTCGTTGTGGTGGCTCCCGACTCCCGATTTGGTGGCTCCCTGCTCCCGGTGTGGTGGCTCCCAACTCCCGATTTGTTGGCTCCCTGCTCCCGGTGTGATGGCTCTCTGCTCCCAGTGGGGCCCAGGCAGGCTGAGTCATAGTGACTGAGATATTCATTGTGTAGCCCGACTTTACGGACGAGAGCGATTGGTGCGTAGTTAGATGCCACGGCACAGGATGACTGCCCTTTTCCTCTGACGGGCCTGACTGGCATAACAGTCTGAATGCCGACTGCTATGCCAGCGGGCCTGGGTGACGTGACTGTTTCCTGGGCGGCCCGTATCATGTGGTCGCACAGTCCTCGCGAAAATAAACACTGATGGGATCAGGGATGGGCTCCGATGAAAGCGAAGTGAATGTTGGTCATGCAAGAGCTCTATCTACATCAAGAGCTCTATCTATGCAAGAGCTCTATCTACATCCCTGACCGATAATAAATGAATGTATGAATCTTCAGAAATTCTTTTTAGCATACCAGTCGCAAGCCTGAAGTCCTCGCGTTAGGACCCTGTATAACCGACGGTAGTTAGACACCAACTGACGAAATGTCTCCGTTCTCAGGGCAGCAAGGCTTACGCCAAGGCGATCCACAAGGCAGGACTGCTGACTGCTGAGGAGGAGGGTCAGATTCAGACCGGCCTCGACCAGGTATGAGCTCATTGCTCCCGCTCGGCACCTTTCAGCCCCTCCAAACATGACTCCTTTTAGCTGCAGTGCGTGTCCCCATAAATCATGATCCAATAAATCTAAGTCAAGTGATAGTAGACATGTCTTTCACTGCATGGAATAAATCGTCAAAAGAAACATTCACATCTCTCTCTCTCTCTCTCTCTCTCTCTCTTTCTCTCTCTCTCTCTCTCTCTCTCTCTCTCTCTCTCTCTCTCTCTCTCTCTCTCTCTCTCTCTCTCTCTCTCTCTCTCTCTCTCTCTCTCTCTCTCTCTCTCTCTCTCTCTCTCTCTCTCTCTCTCTCTCTCTCTCTCTCTCTTCCCCATTCAACCACAGGTGCTCTCTGAATGGGAGTCTGGTACGTTCGTGCTGCAACCCTCCGATGAAGACATCCACACGGCCAACGAGCGCCGTCTCACCGAGCTGATCGGTCAGGCGGGTGCCAAACTGCACACGGGACGCAGCCGGAACGACCAGGTGGCCACAGACACCCGTCTCTGGCTGAGGGACGTCATCGGGACCGAGCTGCGGCCGCTCATGAGGCAACTCATCACCGTGAGTAAACGACGATGACAGAGGAATCGATTGGAAGTTCAGCAATATACTCTCGGTGTCAGTCTCGAGATGGACCGGCGTTCTTAGACTAAAGGTCTCTGACATTTCT